CCCCAAAACCCCAAAACCCCAAAACCCCATCTTTGAAAATTTTTAAAATTATGTTTTCATGTAATATAATATTAGATCTACGCATGAAAACTTTCGCTTGGCAATGATACCATATTTTCTTTAAATATAACTTTTAAGCACATCCTCTTCATGTCTGGCCTTAAAAATGACCTCATTTAATGGTCTTCTCATAAAGCTAATGAATGGCTTGATTAAACAATAGTAGAGTACGCTCATCTATAGGTTTCTGCATATAATTAACTCTCAATCTTCTCTAATACGAGCTTATTCCTTTTTTATTCTTCTATGAAAAAATTAATGGATTTATATGATCTTACCTTTGTTTTATACTTTTTCCTTTGGCATACTTTTATCTTGCTTATCCTATCATAAATTTAGAAGTAGTTTTCAAATACTCTAATTGTTTTTGTAAGAAAATGTCTTAAAATGAGAACATTTTCATTGATTTCCAGGAAGGCTCTTAGATTTTTCTTGTTAAAGGTATATAAGACACTTTATGTTTGGTTTGATATTTCCTAGATGATCTTTATTCGCTTCTTTTATTTAGGCCCAAAGACCACCCAGGGTTTTTCTTTTGAAGATAAATTTGATGAATTTGAGCTATCTTCATTGTCATCATCATCATCATTCATTGAATCTTCCCTATCGATCATTTGAATGCATTTCGGGAAGATAAGCGCCAGCAAATAATTTGCGAAACTCTCCTAACATTAATTTACTGCATAATCGAAACCTTTTAAAAGCTTATCCGACAAACTATCTAGAGTCTCTAGAAGAGTTAGATTCAGTGTTTAGTTTTGATCTTACTAATCCTATTTCTTTTGGCAATCTAATTTAGATGTGTAAAATGATCTACAAATGCGAAAGATTGTTTTTGAAATCACATCTGGACGGTCTAATGATTTTGCTGATGACTTTTTACTCAATGACTTTTAGATTTAAGTAAAAATTATTGTGTCATCTGGATCATTGAAGTCATCTTCAGTTGGGTTTGGCTATTCAGCAGCTAATAGCTCTTAATAATTTGTCTAGTCTTAATTAAAGGTCTGAATTAAGTGATTTAATGAATCATGATTATTTTGAGGAAGACTACAAATCCAATCTTGCTTGTAATGTAAAGGTTTAGGATCATTAAAGTTCATGTCAAAGACATCGAATTGAGGGTATTAATCTTCAAGATTATTAAATAGGTCCATCATATTTGCAGAGGAGCTTGTTCTATCGATGACTTATTATTGCTATATTACTTAATTTTATCTATCATTTTTCCTTAATATATTTCTAAGAGTAAAAATGAAAGAATGATGCCCTACCGCCTTTTCAGGAATGTTGAGATGATCATGATGTGATTTTTCCTAAAACTTTGCCAGCTGGTCTTGCATGCCACTTAGTCAGGCACTTATTTCCTCATTACCATCATAGCAATTGACTTTTTTATTTATCTCATCAGATTAGTGATTAATGAGGGAAAAACTTAGATTTTTTTGCAATTTTTCATCAAATGAGTTATTTGATCGAAAGTTATTATTGTCAATATTTTAATTTACTAGTATGAGGGTTGTCTTTTTCAATGAGTTAATTACTTGAAGTTATGCTGTCTCCTAGTCCTAATTATTTTCACTTCCAATCTACACATTAGTAGCATCATCTTCAAGGAGCTGTTCTTGCTCATAGTTTGATGATTATTTTGTAAGATCTGGCTAATTGAAGACTATTATGCCTAAGAATTAATCTGATGATACTTTATTTATTAATTGATTATCTTCACCATCTGAGAATACTAGCCTACCCTTCAATTTCAAATAATCTTCAATCTCCTCTTAAAGTATATCTTCAGATTTACTCACTATATTACTAACAAGCTTAAAGGCTGATTATGATAATTTTATTTATGAGCTTTGCTGAGAGATGGTTTCATCCATATGCGGAATTTTCACTATATTTTAATTATATAGCTTTTATGCTAGTTTATGCAGTTGAGTCATTAATACTTTCTTAAAATTTGTTTAGAGCTTATTAGGAAAGATCAATTTTAGTTAGAGACATAGCGTTCTTACTTAAATTTTGTAATCTTGATATAAAAATCTTCAAACTACCTTATTGGCTGATTCATGTCTTAACAAGCAAAACTTTCCTACTCTCTAATTATCTACTCTTGAATTGATTTTCCACTTAACAGTTGAAATATTTTTATGATTCTCTTGCTTTAGTCCCTCTCTTGTTAAAACCTTACATTAATTCTTGCAAATCATTTGTTACTCGAAAAGCTCGACTAACTAATTTCTAATTGTTAAGTTTTCATAAATTTATCAATCTAGTATAATTTTGTTGAATTATCAACAAATTTTCCTTCAAAGGCATTTGGTTTTAAGCTCAATAGATATCATTCCCTACTACTTTACAAAATCGTGCAGGAAAAGTTAAGCTATGCTACATTTAATAAATTAAAACTTTATTTTATAGCGCTAATATTCTATTTGAACTTATCAACCATGAGAGATATTTGATCTTTATGATTTATTTACACACTTTCCTGTCTGTAGATTATTTAATCCTCTCGGGGTTTTGGGGTTTTGGGGTTTTGGGGTTTTGGGG